AGTTGGTCCCCGAAAATTCGAGAGAAGTTTCGGTTCCATTTCAGAGACTGGAAAATGAAGCCTGAAATTGAGAATATCTTGCAAAATAAAGCAGAGTTGCACATGAAAGTGCAAGAATCCTTCCCACTGAATCCAGAGCAACCCACATGGCAGTAGCTTGGTTGCCGCAAAATTGTGACTTCACGATACCCAGGGAAAAATATCCTTTTTGGAGCAATTTAAGCCAACTACTTCAATTTGGAGCATGTTTCCACAATTGGAGCAGCACTTGCACCACTGCATATCATTTAGTTTCCCAGCTTGGACAGCAAATTCATCAGCGGACTTAGTAAGTTCATCTATGCAAAGCAATAATCTAAGGAGTTTTTAAGGACTAATTTGGAAATCTAAGTAGTTCCAAGTACTCCTTGGAGACTTTTTTATTTCCAAGGAGTTTCTAAGGAGTATAAGGAGCCTGTACGAACCCTGTATTTAGTACAGCTATCAGAATAAATTTCCTAGTAACATGCTATCTTATTATATTATAATAGTTTTAGTATGTCTACATTTTAGTCTAAACAGCTCAGCATAAATCGAAAGAATAGTTTCGAATTTTGATCTTATCCGTACTAAAGTGAAAAATGAACTTGAGGCTGGAGGGCTTTGAAAATCCTTTTTAATTATTCAATATTTTCTACATTACGATAAGGGTTTTTGACAGTAATTGTCTAAACAAAGAGTTTTTAATGTCAAAATAATTCAAGAACATAATTAATTCATCACTTGTAATTTTATATGTATGTTTATTTATAAATATTTCTCATTCATAATAGCTAATAATTATCCTTACATGAAAATTTTGGGTTTTTGGCACTTAACAGTTATTACGAAGATTTATATGGAATTATGGGATAATTAAAATCAAAATATAGATTAATAACAACTTATAATTATTATCAAGAATACTAACTTACTAGTTAGAAGATATTTCAAATAATAATAATTAGTAATAGTATTGATAATTTAAGCTGTTATCTTTACATATATAATTCTTATATTAATGACATATTATATGAATCAATAGCAATTATATGAAATATTGTGTATGATTTACATAGTTATGCAGGTAGACTTATAATAAAATGTCCTCAATGTCAAATGAGAAACTTGATCCTTTGATATCAAAAATCCAATTTTGTTGCAAAGTGCTCAAGTTGAAACAGGTTTATTAACTGGAAGAAGCTTTCTGACTCATGAGAAAAATTTCAAGCTAAACTAGTATGACAGTTGTTAATTTTGAACCATCAACGCATTTTATTTTCCTAATAAAGAATTGCAAAAATTGTTGAAACAAAAAAAGTAATAAGCAATATCTGAGGGACATTTCCATATCTTTAGCAGTTTGTATCGACTACAATCACCTAAACCAAAAGGTTTAAAAAAAAAAAAATGAAGAGGTTCACACAGATTACAAATTAAATAAGTTGACTATCCTATTTTTAAAAAATAATTTAAAATGAGATTTTACGATATAGTTTAGATAATAAAATCTTTAATGCAAATTTGTAATAAATGGCTATTTTGAATTTTAAGTAACAAGAATAACCATGTTCTAATTCCAGAAAACTTTATCAAGTTTTTCAAGAAATATGTGTCATTCAACAAAATCTGTTATTAAATCTTTGTCATTCAACAAAAAAAAAAAATCTTCAATACAAAATAGAAATCTCATAAGTAAAAGTAAATCAATGTCTGTCCAACATAATACACATAACAATAAAAAACAAGTCCGGAAACTCAGCAATGGGAAAATTTCTGTAGCATGATCTACACTAAAATAAATGTAAAATTTTGGCAACTTCAGGGCAGTGGGGTGCAAGAAACTATAAAAAAATACTATAGAAGGGTAACAACTCAACACTGCCACACAGACAAAGCTCAAAATTTTTTCCTTAAATTTGTTCCTTCTGCACCCTAGCAATTGTAGTTGGCACAATAGATAATGAAAGGGAAATATCTCCATAGACCATTATTATTGTTTGGGTATCAATACAGAAATTATTATTTTCTGATAAGTAATTTCAATTATTTATTTTGTTTAGATTCTGTGAGATCTGCATTCTTTGCAAATTGAAATAAAACAAGAGCACATTCATCCTCATTGTTTAATAGAACTAATTTACTAACACACTTTATTTTATAATAATAAGACAGCAAGTAATACCGGATTAATAAATTTAAATATCAGTGAAGTGTACTAAATTATATGCATTAAATACTTGCAATAGAAATTTTTTTATATTTGTTAAAAATTACAGAGCCTGATAGTCAGTCGTAGTAAAAAGCAAGCATAGACTTTCCTCAGTTTGGACTATGCAATCATGAAAATGCGGTAACTAAAAACTAATAATTTATTCGAATTTAAAAACACGTTGTAGTTCGTTTAAGCAAAATATAAATTATAATAAGAGAACATACTCAAACAATCTGCAAATGAAACATAATCTTGTGACCTGCTTTTGTATGTTAATTCGAATCGGTATCCTAATTTATTAAAATTCAAACTTTTTTAAGAACTAAATTATTAAATTAATATACTAAAATATTATGAAAATATTGCATAAACTTAAGGTAATGAGAATCTAATATACCATCCCGATTAAAAAAGTATTCGAAGTTGGGCAATAAAATATATGGTTAGTCCCTTCCCCCTCACCACGAGATGTTTCAAAACAAACAAGCATACGACACACAGCTGGAATCGAATCTCAGTTTCCGAAAATTATTCAGCTCAAATAAGAACTGAAACAAAGTTAACTCTCAAACAGAAAACCAACCTGTGCAGTTGCAGTATTTTCTTTCCTGGTATCTATTTTCTTAACGTAATCTTGCATTCTTAGTACAAGACCGTGCGCCATTTTAGCTTCACCCGTAGGAAGAGTCCATAATCCTGACAGTAGTTCAATCCATAACTGAATATCTAGGAGGACTTCATCGCTTGAAGAATATCCTGACCAATGATTTTCCCCCCTATGAACAAGCAATTCTTTGTAGTTCACTCTGATACACTTTAAAAATACTTAAGTTAAAAAAATATACACAAGGAGATACACAAACGAAAAGCAGTCTCCTGAAATTACAAATTGATGTGATACAAACGTAAAGACGAGAAACCATTACCGATTAAACAAAAGTCACGTACGCAATCGATTCATATCGTTAAAATTAGAACAAAATAAGAAGTTACTAATTTTGTTAAAATTATTTCTTACAGTATAGTGATCATTGCAAAAATATTTTATTCTTTGAAACATTTTAATAGCAAAGGAACATCACTAATTCAGACAGATGCTTAGGAATAGTTTACAGTGTATGCATAATGTTCTCAGATGGGAATTTGGAGATGCAAATGATTGGTGAATTAGATTTGCCTGAGAAAAACTCACCAATCAGGTTCTAATTTGTATCTCAGAAATCAAATACGCGATTTGTTTCAAACAGTAGGAATACTACATCAAAAATTGCTCTTTCTGCTTGCTTTTTTTCCCTTCTTTTTTTAAAAAAAAAGCCTCCAGTCAAGTTCTGATTGGAATGAGATTTCTCGCATCCAAATAAAAAACTGATTGATGAGCTCTTTATGGATAAGTGAATATATTTCACTTATCCTGATCTTAATTACACGCAGTTTTTTTTTGCGTAAGAAAAAATTGCAGGCAGTGAGAAAAGCTCCTTGATTTTCAGCAGATTTTTGTGGATCTTTAGTGATACAAGAAAACTTTTTTGTGTTTCGAAACTTGCAATATTTTTTTTTATTTTTGTTCTGATCATCAAAATTTTGCTCGTTTTTCGTTTATTGTATTATGCGAACATTCTCCGTTTTTAAAATATATAATCAGCTAAGTTTTTCATTAAAGTTAATTATCTTTAAATTGTCTTGATCTGTGGCAGAGAATAATTGTCAAGTATTGGATCTTCCAGGCATCGGCCTGCGAGAAATTAAAAAAAGAATATCTCAGAACGAGACCAACTTGAAAGGTATAACTCATAGCCACCCCCAGGCAAACATCTAAATATATATATATTTTTTAAAATTTTTGCAAGTTTAAAATCCATTTGGCACTTTGGCTATCGTAATTGGCGTGGCAGATCACGATACGGAAATATCAAAGTGATCTTTTTGCAATATACGAACGTAAACAATGCTCGATTTAAAAATTTTCTTAAATTTATTCAAATAATAAATAAAGTTAGAATCTTTTACTTTTCCAAAACTTCTTACTTAGTTCTAAATTTGATTAAAACAATAGATATTTAAATTTCTTTTGAAAAAAATATTGTAACAATGTAGTGTATTATTGAAATTCATTCTTATTGATTATAGGCACCAATGTGCTTGTTGCTTAAAACTTGAAAAGGCAGTCACCAACACATGGTGTCTATAATAAAAATTTTTTGGTGAAGTATAAAATTTAGCAACTCTTTAAATATTGAATAAAAATCCTTGTTAAAAACATTTCTAAAGAGGTTATCTGATTCCTGTATACCTTAACTGAAAATGCTGTAAGAATAATTTATTAAATTCATATGTGTGTATACCCATATCTTTGCACACATTTGCACAGCACAGTATATATAATTTTTTTCTATGATTCAATTCAATAATTAGACTAACTGAAATAAAACTTATCTTTTATTACAATAAATATAAAATTTGGTAAACTACCAATGGTAAGCAAGATTTGGTAAATTGAAAAACTACTTTGTTTTCATTTTTTTTCCCAATTTTAATTCAAATTTCCTTATTTGAAAAAGAATATAGTTTGTCCTATTACAGGGGATTTTTTTGTTTACCTGTATTATGATAAGCACAATAAAAAACTTTTAAATTTTTTTTGCAACTTTTCTATTTTATATTATGAATTTTGTATAAAATATCAGGAAAAATAGGTAGCTATTTCTAAAGATTTTTTTGTGTTCTTTTTCATACAATTTCTCCACCTGACAACTTTAGTAAGGGATGTACTTTAGTCCTTTTTATTTAATATAGAATATGTTTATAAAATTGTATAACTTTAACTTTAGAAAATTTTTCACTTTAAGTAATCTTACTTAAAGTTGTTTATTATTGAAAAATGCGGAAAGACATTGTCAATGAAGAATGAATAAATTAAGAATTTCTAAAATACCTGAAGAATATTATTTAATTTCATTTAGTTTCTATATCATTCTTGCTAATTTATTCATGAATAAAACAATAACTAAACTTTTCTTGATCAGTTTTCAGATTATCTTTTTTATGCTTTAGCTATTTTTTTCTTCTTCATTTTTAACTAAAAATGTAAACTAAAACAAAGCTTACACATTTGTGTGCTTGATTTATTTATGCTTATTGGTATTTACATAATCTTTGACTAACTGTTTTCTTATTGCTTAACTTTCTCAAAACCAGTAATAAGGATTGCGATAAGCCGTGGGCATCATCCAATTTTTCAGTAGGATGAAATGAAGCTCCTAGTCTCCAAAATTCCACATTTGAAGAAAAAATTCAATAAAATTTCTTCCATCATCTGCTTATCATCAACAAAACAATTACTTAAAAAAAATTCCCGAGCTTGTCTTCAGTTTATTTAAATTTATGACAATTCATTTTTTTAAATTTATCTAAAATAGTGGGGAGGGAGAAATTTTTGATAGGAACTTATAACCATCCTGCCCTGTTCCAACAAGTCTCATGAAATAAGAAGTCTGCTTTTAATAGCATTAGCCACTGTCATTCAAGACAAGGAATGACTTTATTTTTACATTGTGTAAATAAAAATGTGAAGATTAAATCAAAACTCTTATGATGGAGATTCGTTGTTCCAAAAATTTGAATTTATCACTCATTTAGTGTGTAAATCATGTCCAGTTCTTTTTAAATTATTTTAATCATATTAACAACTTCATTCAATAATCACAGAATTTTTAAAATGATCAACTGAAAAGTCGCTCACAATTTTTACTTTTAATTTCAGTTTTAGTAGCTTTAAAAATTAAGGAAATACTTTATTTAAAAATATTAGGTTCTGATTTAACTAAACAAAAAAATTTTAAATAGAATATTTATTCTTTTGGTTGGTTTTTAGTAAGAGATGATGTTTATAATTGAGAGTAATCACAGTAATGACTTTTTGAAACAACTATATTAGAAAAGTCATTTTAAATTGTTTTTTTTTTTTTGGTTTGTAATTTACAGCTTTCTTATAGTTTAAAGAATAATTTTTATGAAATATATTTTTGAAGAAGAGTTGTGCAACTTACATAATGAAAATTAGAACATAACTTATTTCCTTGATCAGGGATCTGTCCAGGACAAATTTACTACCGTTTAGCGGTACATTCACAAATTCAACTTTAGGAAAAACGGTAGTTTTACAAAATACTTTTAAAACGCAAGTTCTAAGATTCTTCTCCCCCCCTCTTTTTTGTTTTTGTATCCCCGTGAGGAGCGATACACTCCTATTTAATTAAGCATGTATAAATGTGTAGTACATGCTTGGTTAGATAATGAGGCATGGTTGCCTAACCGATCGCTTACGCCATGTTATATTGAGCTTTTTTCCCCTGCAGTTTTATTTTTAAAATTAAACGATGAGGCACTCCCTCTGTAAACATTACAGGAAGTTGAAATTTGAACATTATTCTAAACATTCAAATATTGTTCTAAATTTATTCTAAAAGAGCTTTATGTTTTTATGAAAAATTTTTTCGCTGTGAAACTTTTTCTTATATGACCCCGTGGGAAATGTTCTCATAATTAAAATAACTTTTAGTGCAAATCTGAAGGCATGTTGTTTTTTTTTTTTTAAAAAAAAATTCAAGTTGAAATTTAACAATGGACAATGATTTTTATGGATTTTTAAATTTAGATACAATTTCAATCCCAAACTTTTACAATAGCAAAATTATTTTTGAATATATGGGGAAAGATATTTAAAAATTTACCCGTCATAAATGATTTTTATTTGTAGTGACAATTTTTGAAAATTTCTTCTTACTTTATAGTATTTTTGTGTTGGTTTTTTAATATAATTTTTAATTTTCATGAATTATGTCTAAGTTTTCACAAAATAGGTACCTCTCATAAAAACCTAGACAGACCCCTTCTGAACTTACAACTTCAGTTTTTTCCCCAAAATCTTTCACAGCATCTAATTATATGTTCATGGAATGATATGTTCAAAAATTAGTCTTACCTTGTACTTAAATCATGTGTTGAAAAAAAGAGGTTAAATTGCTCATTAATAAAATTTTTTTTCCTAGATACTGAATGGAGAAAACAGAACAAGCCTCTTATGAAGCTGAAAATACACATGTAGATGAGGTAGAAAACAAAAGAACTGTTTTAAAATGGATTTTCTCCCATGTAAGTCAATGAAAACACTTGATTTAAATCTGAAAAAATGTTGGTTTTCACATTAATTTCAGTATTCATTGCAAACTTGTGTACTCCCAGGGGTCTGTCCACGTTGAATTTAATACCGTTTAGCGGTACCTTCACAAATTCAACTTTAGGAAAAACGGAGGTTTCACAAAGTACTTTTTCTTAAAATTTTATTTTTGTATCCTTAAGAAACAATAAATCTATATTTTTACTATGTTTTTTTGTTGATTTTTTAATATCATTTTTAATTTTTCACAAATTATGTCTAAATTTTCACAAATAGGTACCTCTCAGAAAAACCTAGACAGACCCCTTACTCCTCTACACAGAAATTCAATTTCAGTCTAATTGGAAACAATATATGAGAGAAACATTTTTACAAATTTTTCCATTAGCGAAATGGCTAAAAAACTTAAACATCTGAGCAATCGTTTGGGTTTTTTCCGAACTTTCTTAATAGCTTTCTTACTACATGTTATTTAATGAAAAAAAAAATAATAAATCAATAAATAAATAATCCTTTGATGTAAAATATCAATGCAATTTTACTCTGACACACAACACTTTGTGGATTAAATTCCTTTTTTAAATGTAATTTTTCTTTTATTAGCATTTTCCACTTCACATTTCCAATGACACAATTTAGATTTATACATTCATATTTATTTTCTTTCCTCATGAAAATGATATATTGCTAAACATGCTCTTATGTTTTCTTTTTTAAATTTTCTTGTTTAAAATTAATTTTATTTTTGTTTGAAACTAATTTATTTTTTGTTTAAAATTAATTTTAAAAACTGTTAAAATGTTTTTCGTACAGATCCTAGATGTTATGTTTTATGTGGGAATGTGTTATCATTTATTTATTTGTCCATATACAAAAGTAGAAGAGAGCTTCAACATGCAAGCCATACATGATCTTCTATATCATGGCCCTGATATTTCAAAGGTAACAATTATATATTTGAATATTTTTCATTTTATTTTATTAATGATTTAATTGTAATGTCAGAATTTATCATTTTATCTGTTATTTGTGTTAATTAAGAGATGCTGCTGCTATCGCATGACTTTTGGGAGTCATCTCCTTCCTAAAAGGAGTGAGTCTTACCAGCAATAAGCAAGCTTGTCTGGCCTAGAATAATTTGTTTATCTTGCGTTTTCTATTTTGTAATAAAATTAATTAAGTTTTATTTTGGAGTTTCCTTAATAAGTCCCTATCAATCGAACCACAGTTACTACGTTAATATTATGAATCTGAATAGTAACATAAATCCAAAAATCATGATTTATGAATTTTTTTGTGAAATCTTCAATCAAGAGCATTCTTTTTTTCGTCCCTAAAATCTTTCTCTGTTTTTAGTCTCTACCTATTGTTTTTATGGTAATTAATGGTGGAAAGACATTTTTGTTTAGATTTTGTAGTGGGTTTCAGGGAGATGTTTGTTATTGCTCTTAGAATAGAACCAGGGGCTTTTAGGTTTGCTTTTGAATGATCTAATCACCATCCGAAAACAGGAAGGCATAGATGAGTTTTGAAGTTTTATGGGATTGTTGCTATTCACTCTCATTCTGAACAAAGAGACTGTTTGGCTCATCAGTTTTAGGCATTTCATGCAACGAGGCCTCATGGACTTTAAACAATTGTTTTGTGTTTTAAAGTAAACTTTCTAGCAGGGTGACTATCTGTAATAAAGAATGAGAAAATAATGTGTTCAATGTAAATGGTCGGAATGTAGGAGATATAATTGTTGTTGGAATCAAACCAGAGACGTTTTGGTGGACAGATGGGTTGTCTAATCACAGAAAGTTGAAACTGAGACGCACTGAGAACTGCTAAGTTTTCTTTAAGGGAAGAGAAATTGAGGCCAAAGCACTCGGATGTCTAATGCTCAAAAGTGTACTGTAGTCAAACTTTTAGATCTAGTGTTTGTGATTGATAATTTGAAAGCAAAAGTTGACATAAAAATAGTACACATTAATTAAAGTTAAATGTAAAATAATAATTTTCTGTTTGAAATAATTTCTACAACTTTTTACTAATTGTTACTGTCATTTACTGTATTTTTAAAAATAAATATTGCTTTGAAAAACTTCTGTTAACATGATAATGAAATAAATGTGCTTTTTAAATTTATATAGCTATATATATTTCTTGTTTGTATTTTATTCTTTTTCTGCATGTAATATATTTTCGTTTTTCTGTTTTTAGTATGATCATTTAGAATTTCCTGGTGTTGTACCACGTACATTTTTGGGACCAATTGTTGTTGCCATGTTGTCATCTCCAGTGTTGTTTCTTGTTAATATTATAGGACTAAACAAATTTTTCATGCAGTATGTTGGTATGTATATTTATTTTATTATGCAACTTAAAAATATGTTTTGAAGTCTTTTAAATTTACAAATGATACAAAGCTCTTCTTAAAAAAATTAGATTTCACATCAAAAAACAAGTCAGATGCAGTAATAGAAAAGCAGCACCTAATTAAAAGTAAAATTTTTTTATAAATAAATAGATTATAATGTCAATCAAAATTCTCAGCCTTTTCTTAATAACTGCAGTGATCTATGTCTGATCACATTACAAATATAAGTTGTTTCCTGACCACCTTTTGTTATGGTGATCACCATATTACTTTAATGGGAATTTATCATTGATGAAAATTTTGACCATTTTTTCAAATTAGCTAGAATGTTTAAATTTCACTAGTGTTCTATGCCTTTGCTTCTTTAAAAAGGTAAAAATAGAAATTTTTAAATTTGTCTGTGTACACTGCTTAAAAATATTTTGAGTTATAAGTTCACTGTTTAAAACTTTAAAAAAATTTTTTTTCTCCAAAATTCATATGTGTTGAATTTAAATTTTGTGATAACACACTAGTCATTTAGCTTTATCTTGATATGTGCTAAGCTGTTGCCATTCATTTCCTTTCATTAAAAAAACTTTTTTTGTGTTTATATATATTGTTTTTAATTAAACTTTTCTATTTGTAGTTCGCTTAGTATTGGGATCCTTAGTGTTTATAGCTTTTCAAAAGTTTAAAAGTTCTGTTAAACATCAATTTGGCTCTGTTGTTTCTTCTTGGCTGCTGATTATTACTTTATCACAATTTCATTTTCTGTTTTACATGACTCGACCATTGCCCAATACATTTGCATTGATATTAGGTAAGTAATTAATATTGACAAAGCATTATATTTTTTACATTTTGATTTGTCAANAATACATATATATATAAAATTAAAAAAAAAAAAGACTCAAAGGTTGAGATAAAAACAAATTTAATATACAAATAACATACAATGCAACAATTTAATCAGCTTTATTAACGTTTTATTTGTTTCTTTTTTATTCTATTTTTAACTCCTTTTGATTCTTCGGTATCGTCATCATCATTTTTATTATAGCGTTTCCTCTTTTTGTCTTTTCCCTCAAGTTCTTTCATTTCCTACATAGAAAGAAATCCAATTAATTAATGTTTAATTCGTGATATTAGTGTGAAATAAATACAGGAGAATAAAATTTAATTTTGATTGCAACTCATGAAAGCTATATTTATTGTAAAGAAAGGAAATTGTTTTCATAAATTGAAACAATTACTTAATACCTTATTAGAGCTAAGTCTTATCAAGTTTTTTAAATTAGTAAAAATCTATATGCATTGACTATTCACGAAATATTACTTTCAAAATTATAAAAAAAATTCAAATCAGCATTATTTGATTACTAAACAACTATTAACTAATGAAATATAAAAAAGGCACTGATGATAGTGTATTCATCCTTGATTTTGGTATCTTATTACCTATAACTATAGTTGATCTTTTTTATAATTTAAAGTGATGGCATGGGTGGCTGCGATTTAAAAGACGTCTCTCTCGACCAAATTAAAACTGTCAAAGAGTTGGACACAGGGAGAGAAAATTTCGAGTTTTGAAGATGCTTTTATCCTCTTTACTTAATTTTTAAAAATTATCTGTGACATATTAAATCTAATCAACAGTATCTTTCAATACATGTAAAATACAAGGCCGTCACCCGAATCTGAATTTAAGATATGAAGCATGTGATATTTTAGATACTCTTAATTTTTTCTTAAAAAAATTATATAAATTTTGTAATTAATTGTTTTTGGGCAGTGTGTGTTATAAGAATTTTTTTAGCATCATCGAAGTTGGTATTCATCTATTTAAACTGTAATAAATTTAAATTTTAAAAACTGATGAGTATGTAGCTTTAAATTACTAATTCAAAACCAAATTTATTTAATATGAGTAAATAAAATTATAGTTTTGATACAGAAGGGATTAATGAATTTCTTATTTTCAATTTATTAAATTTCTATACAACTATGTTAATACACAAATCTATGCCAATATAATGAAGAGTTGGTGTGTGTTTTTTGCAACTCTAACATTTGAGTCATGACCCTGAACCTTAAGCAATGAATGCAAAGGACCATATTAGCCCCTCCCCCAATATTAATGTCAGGTTATTTCAAATAAAAAAAAATATGGATGGTATGTGAGAGCTACATCAACAAATTAATATTTTTAAAACTATCTGCAACCACTTTTTTTTATACAGGGTATAGAGTTACAGTTCTGTAACATCATTCTATAAACCTTAATAAATGGTAATTGAAATTGCAAAAATTAAATTATGTATTTATGCGCAAATTTATTAGGAAAAATGCTTTATTGTGATAAATTTTAATTATGCTGTCAATAATATTTTAATGAGGTGAACTTTTACGTGGATACAATAAAAAAATAAAGCATTTTACTTTGTTAGCTGTTAGGGATGCTTCAACAACTCTGTCCAACAATACCATAACTTCCTCATTTACAGTTGGATACAAATCAAGCTTTTTGCTTATTAATTCTTCAATTTTTAAATAAGCTTCCACCTCAAATCTATGCAGGGAGACAACAAAAGCGTTAAAACAATTATAAAATACTTAAAAATCAATAACTAACTGACGTTAAAATGTCAGGTGAGGAAGGGGAAAACTTACTGAACAACAAATGTTATAGATTTTCCTCCTCGACCTGCCCTGGCAGTTCGACCAACTCTGTGTATGTAATCTTTTGAATGTGAAGGCAGATCAAAATTTATTACAACATCAACATGTGGTATATCTAAACCTCTAAAATTATAATAAAAAACACATTATTTTTAATGCTATTTAAAATGAAAATACAAACCAATTTTTGCATAATCTTATTTGCATAGTTGTTATTCATTTACACATATTTATTGCACATAAAATCATTTTCTTCATACTTGTAAAAACAGAGAGAAATATAAACTTAAAATACAATAAAATTTTAACTTTCCAGCAGGGTTGGCTCACATTTTATATCAATTTATTTATTTTTTTCGAAGGATTTAAGTATAAAATATTTTTCGGCAATATCAAACATGTATGTTTTAAGGTAATGATTTTTTCTCAATCTTGTCGAATTTCATTTTTAAAGAATTATTTTACAAAAAATGAAGAATATGATACATGTGAATTATTTGATGTTCAAAATAGAAAGAAAAAAAAATAAGGTAAAATGAAACAGTAGATAAGAATGGCAGGAAGGTTTATAACTATAATTTTCTATTTATTACAGGTAAATAATATGTTGTTTAAGTAGACAGAGTTAACATTTTGATTAAAGATTAATTTTTATCTTTATTTAAATACACATGCTCTTTGAACTTATAAGTAGTTAGTATGAAAACAATTTTGATATATAGGGCCAACGCTCCGTGTTTTACTCAATGAATATTATTAAAGGATTTTGGAGCAATTCGGGGGGGGGGGGAAACATTTTGGAGCAAAAGTTTTGTTTTTGAGCACTTGTATTAAATTGTTTATTCATTTTTTTAAAAATTTCAATTTTAATAATGATCACAGTATGTTCGGCATTTAGATAATTCTAAATTACCTGCAAAATATTTTAATAAAATTTTCTTTACACCAGAGTATATTTGTTTTGAAAATTGACATTTCAGTTCCCACAGAGATGAAACTTAAAATACAGTATTTTATATATACAGTTAAATCTTGTTAATATCAACTCGTACAGGGTCAGAAAATTTGTTCCCATTAAAAGTATCATGTTATCAGTTCCGAAATTTGTTTGTTTCATAGTAACTTACTTTTGTAACTTAGAAAATTGTTATTAGATATCATTGGGACACAAGATAGAACAACAACAAAAAAAATAATAATAATTCTCTCACTACATTTAGTTGAGAAGGAATGTATCAAGAATCAAACAACCATTTTTAAAAATGCTTAGATAAAACTTAGCATTAAGGATGTATTAAAGCCAAGCAGGCATGGACATTTTAAAAACCATGTTGAGACATACTTTTACAGAAAATTACTCATAGAAATATACAGACATAATATCCTGTTCACATATGTCTGTCTTCGAGCTTACATTTTACTGTTTGAAAGACACTTACAATTCAATGTAGGTAGTGCAATTCAAGTAATTTTTATCAAAACATCGGTATGTTATGTCTCTTTGAATGTTTATATGTTAATGTTTATGTGTTAATATAAATAATTTTTGTTCAACAATCAAATTATAAAATAAAAATTATGCCACTTTCTTTAAACGTTGAAAAGATTTACTGCTAAAATCCAAATAGGTTGGCAGCTCTGCTTTTCTGGCATTGCTTCTGAAAATAAAAACATGAAATAAAAAACTATTTACCTGCTAGCAACATCAGTAGCAATCAATATTGATCTGGTTTTCCCCTTAAATTTTTGCAATGCACCAAGCCTTTTTGCCTAAAATTAGAAATATATGTATAGAGAAGCATATATACGAAACTTTGGTCTGCATTTTCTATTACACACCATTAATCCAAATAATAAAAAAAAAAAGTTTCCATTGATTAAGCTTTGCTCTTCAAATTTTCAAGCTTCATCCTTAGAAACCATACAAATGTATTCCTAATTGTATGGTTTCTAAGGTCACATACTAAATGAAGTCTTACTTAAAATAATCTTTCATGTATTTTTAACTAACTGTCACAATTATTTTTAGAGATGAAATTGCCCATTTATTATGTTGTTTTTCTGCCTATTTCTTTTTATGTTATTTTCTTTGACCATTAGGGCAATTTGAAACAGAATTGGCCACCATTCTCTTTGATAAAGACAATTTTGTCAGCAGGTCATGAAATGTATAAACCACTCAAACTTTGAAAGAGCAAATATGAGGCCAAGCCTACACTACTAAAAATCAGTCACAATTAATAATAATCAAAACAATAATTTAAATTTTCTTACATAAGTGCTAGAAAGGCAAAGTACAAAATTACATATGAGTTGCACTATACCTTATTCCCATTTGTCTATTTTATGGTTAAATAAATATGTCAGCATTGAAAAAAATAAAACATCATTTCATTTAGAATTTGAAATTTTTCCTAGAGATTTAAATGTCACATACACATATTCAAACTAGTATAAAACTGTTATAAAAACTAAACATTCAATACCTGACTAAGTTTACCATGAAGTGGAATAGCAGTGAAGCCTAGGTTTCGAAGAAGAAACGCAGTCCTTTGAGTATTAGCGCAAGTAGCACAAAATACCATTATAGAATCACCAGGCAACTCATTCAAGATATGAACTAAATAGACATCCTACAAAGAAATATGAAATTAGGATATCTCTTATGATGAAATAATAGAAGTGGTATAGAGTTACAGTTCTGTAAC